GCCTTGTCTTGTGGCCTGGCTCGCAAGCTCCCCACTTCCTCCTGTGTTCCCTGTTTCACCCCGACCCTTCCTCCCGTCTGAGTTCTCTCTGGGCCAGGGCTGCCCTTCTTTTCTAACGGTTCCATGAATGAAGGAGCCTCCAGGCAGCCTCCTCCTGTGGCTGCTACTCTTATAAACCTCAACTGAGAGTTGGGCCAAGGGGTTGGACTCCGTCCCAGGCTTCAAAGGAGTCTACGGAACATAGTCTTGGGGACTGGGGGGCGGGGGGGACAGTCTTCTTACCAGGCTTTATGCCTGGGGGCTGCTTTATTATTTTTCACGTTATTCCACATTTTCCTCCCTCTCTATCCAGGACCTCCGACTGAAATCCCGTCCAGAGTAGTTGGCAGTGGTAGCCGGGCACCATCTAGTTCTTCTGATCTCAGGGTCTTGAAGGCTTGGGCTCGTGGGGTTCATTTGCCCGTTGGCCTTCTTGTTTCTAGGAATCTCTGATCCGTCTTCGCTGTTCTTTGCTTTGGGCGGAGGGAGACCTCCAGTTGTACCTTAAAAAGTGCAGATCTTGTAAAGCATCACATGACCTGCCAGCATAGATTGGAAGGAGCCACCTTGCCCCAGCACTGCTTCGAGTCTCTGGCACCTCTCCTGTGCCAGCAGAGGTCGGGCAGGAGCCCAAGCTCTGCAAGTGACAAGTACTATCTCTCTGGGGAAACGCATGTGGTTAACAGGGGGCCAAAATGACACCAAGCCTGCCTCTACTTCCTACCTCGTCAGGGCATCTGGCTGCATTAGCCAGAGATGGCTCTTAAGTGGGCACCCTGCCAAAGCGCTGACATCTCCAGCAGGGTGCAGATGAAGTATGTGGGGGCACCACTGTGAGTCCTGGGCCAGGGATGGGACGGTATGGAGGGGCAGGGCTCCCTTGATCCTCAGACTGCCCCCTCGCCCACGCCCCCAGCTCCCAGTGCCTGTGGCTGTGCTGCTTCTGCTATCTAAGGAGCAGCTGCTGACCTGCTGTCCCCAGAGGAGGCCCCTGCTGCTGTCTGCAGATGAGCTTGCCCTGGAGACGCGGCCCACACCGAAGGAAGACCCCTCCTCGCTGTCCCCAAAGCTCCAGCAAGAGCCAGGTGGGCCTCCAGTGAAGCCTCTTCGTCACAGCCCCAGGGGGACAGATTCCAGAACACACTGCCCAACTCCGTGCCCTGTGCTGTGGCCCGAGGCCTACTGTCCTGGGAGAAACCGGGTCTCTAGCTCACCTGAACACAGTGGGGTCGGAGAAGACCTGCTATAAAGCCCATAGAGGAGGGAGTCTCCTCGGGCTCCCCCTGCCCCTCCCCCAGGATGGCTGAACCTAAGTCCCAGGTGGCAGAGATTAGCACTAACGCTTGGCCGTGCCCTAGAGCAGTGGTTCTCCACCTTCCTCGTGCCACGAGCCTGTCATACAGGTCCTCATGGGGTGGTGACCCCCCTAACCATAACATTATTTTCGTTGCTACTTCATCACTGTCATGTTGCTACTCTTATGAATCGGGCGACCCCAGCGAAAGGGCTGTTGGACCGCCAAAGGGGTCGCGACTCACAGGTTGAGAACCACTGCCTTAGATGGAAGAAGCAAACTGCTGGCTCCAACGTCCATCCTGCCCTGTCCTACCTGTGTGACTCTGGGCAAGTGCCTGCCGCGCTCTGCACCGTGGTTCCACCACGGCCACAGAATGGACGTGGGCTGACAGCTGGAGAAGGTGGGAGGCAGAACGTGGGCAAGCAGACAGTGGGGAGAAGCTGAAGTCCACCCCCCCATCTTCCCCAGGGCACCAGGACCTGTTCAGCTGCTGCCAGAGGAAGAACTTCAAGGGGGCCCCTTATTCCTTCTTTGCCATCCACATCACTGCTGCCCTGGTTCTGTTCATGACCGATGGCTTGACGGTGAGCGTGCCCTTGGCTGGGGACCCACCCCCTGCGGGACTCAAGTCTGGGAGGGCAGCCAGAAAGAGGCCCCAGCCGGCAGAGGTCCTCAGAGACCTGCCTCCAGGACCGTCCCCAGCCCCTGCGCTGTGGCCCAGCAGCGCTGGCGGGGCTGTGTTTCTAGTTGTATCTGCTCCAGCTCCGTGGATAAGAGCTCAGCTCATCTGTGAGCAGGTTCAGTCCACTCAGGGCCTTGTTCCCCCAATTAGAGGTCATGCCACAGAAAGCCAAGGGCACGCTGCTTGCTGGAATACATTACAACCCTAGACTCCTCCAGCCAGTTTGGGAACTGGCCCGGGGCGGGGTCTGGGCCAGGCGAGCTGCGAGCTGCGAGCTGCGAGCTGCTCAATGGCACGCATGCCCACGTCACCCCACTTGCGACCGCTGCCATCCTCCTGTGCACCGTGACTCGGAAATCTCTAGGGTTCAATTAGCAGGGTTTAGCTTAGCAGGTCAATGAATGGCTTGCGTGTGGGGGACTCCCCAGAAAGGAGGGCCAGAGACCCCTTAGTGCCCCAGTGGGTCGGACTCATGAGAGTTCTGGCAGACTGCCGACTCTCAGTGTGACCCGGGTGAGCCCCTTCTCTCACTCTCTCACATGTAAACTGAGAAGTGTGCACACATGGGTTTACTTTGCGTTGGAGACAAGCACGTTGTGTGCTGTGGTTGAAGGGGGCGGGGGCAGCGTCTGCCTGCCCAGCTGCCAGGGACACTGTGTAGACGCTTCCTGAGCCCCTCAACCTCCAGGGGCAGTGAGGTGGGGGGGGGGCGGGCAGCGGTGGGCCCAGTTCTGTTCTCAGAGCAGGCCCATCTGATCTCAGCTCTGAGCTGCCTTCCCTGGCCCTGGCCGGGGCTTCTGCTCGCGGTGAGGGCTGGGTCTGGTTGGGCTACAGAAAGGCTCACAGGGGTCTGGTCTCTCCCCAGGGGACATACTCTGCCTTTGTGTACAGCTATGCAGTGGCCAAGCCCCTGTCTGTGGGACACAAGGTGGCCGGCTACCTGCCCAGCCTGTTCTGGGGCTCCATCACCCTGGGCCGCCTCGTCTCCATTCCCATCTCGTCACACATGAAACCGACCTCCATGGTGTTCATCAACATGGTAAGGGGCCCCTGCGCTTGCCCACTGCTGCCACCTGCTTAGGGCTGGCCGGGTGGACAGAAGAGAGATGTTGGTGTCAGTGGGATGGGGATGCAGGCCACGGAGCCCCTGCCCCTTTCCACGCTTCAGCTTCTCACCCAGGAGGGGGTGCTGCAGGCAGTGGGGCCCCGGTGTGCACAGCACGCCCTGCTGGTGACTGGCCAGGAGCAGGAGGGAAGCCCCGGTCCTCCCATGTGCACACGGGCACCCTTCTGGGCATGGGAGGCCAGGGGTGCCTCAGCACCACCTGAGTGAGAGGCTGTGAAGCTCCACTTTCTCCTTGTTTTCTTCATGTTGATTCTATTGGGGTGACGATGGACAGAGCAGAACCTGCACCCACCCAGCCTGCGTGCACGGCATGCGCTTCACCTGGTGTCCCTTTTCCTGCTGCTTCGACTCCGTTGTCCCACCCCTCTTCCTGTGGGCTCACTGCCCCCCCCCCCATCGTCTCCGCCGTACATTCACATCGGGCTACACACCACAAAGTCAGCAGTTCAAAACCACCAGGCGCCCCTCAGGAGGACGAAGAGGCTTTCTCCTGGCATCAAGAGTCCTGGAGACCCACAGGGGTAATGCAAGTCTGGCCTGTCGGTCGCTGAGTCTGAACAGACTTGACGACAATGGGTTTGGTGGTTTTGTTTAGTGGTACAGTGGTGAAGCAGTTGGCTGCTAACCAAGGAGTCGGCAGTTCGAATCCATCAGCGGCTCCCCGGGAGAAATATGTGACAGCCGCTCCGATCGAGATTTACCCCCTCAGGGCCCCTAGGTTAAGGAAAGGCTGCCCCTCACCATGAGGACCCACAGCTGTCTACAGGTTCACTGCGCGTGTCACCTGATTCCACCTTTTGGTGGGGTTTTCGTCTTTGGTAAAGGCTGCTACCAAAACAGAGCTGGGACGGACCCCTCCTCGTCTCGGCCCCAGCCTGGGGGCTCCTCCCAGAGGGCTTTCCCAGATTGAAGTGAAACGCCTCCATTCTAAAGGATTTAGAACCGGGGTGGGCGTACAAAGATAAAAATACCTAGAATAGGCTAATGTTTTGCTGGGAACAGGTTCCCAAACCAGGCTTGTTCGGACCTGAGAAGCTCCCTCCATTGGAATGCATGGAGACCAGGGCGTGGCCCGGTTGCCATGGCCTAGCGAGCGAGGGAAGGGGCGCGGGGCTGCCCTTGCTGAGAGTCTGGCCACCGCTCCTGGCGATGGCCCCACAGCACACTGACTGCGACTGCTGTCGCAGAATTGAACAAGTGAAGAAAGGCTGAACCGCCAAATGCCTCGTATCGGCATTTTCACAACAATTTTCAAACAACAACAAAACACCTGGGATTAGTCTAACAAAAAGACCCCGATTGAACTAGAGTTGAACCCTCTTGGCATCGCTGGGCACAAAGCACTGCTAGGTAAAGGGGCCGCAGGTGGGAACGAACCAGGGTCCCTGAGGGCAGATTAGAGTTCGCCCCTGGGAATCAGAGCCCATGGGACTCTGGAGGAAGCCAGCTGGTTGCCCTGGCCACTGACACCGGCCCTGTGAGAGATGCTTGGCTTCCCAAAGGGGCTGCCCGCCACTGCCCGCCTCCCCTACTACCCAAAGCCTTCCACTCCGAACACTCCTGGCCCGTGTACTCAGGGCTTTTAGGGAAAGACAAATAGAGAACTCAGACAAGCCAGGCCAGGAGAGCCGTATGCCCATGAGTTTGGGGACCAAAGAGGCCTAGTGAGCGGTGTGCTCGGAGCTTTGCGTGGAGCTAGGCATGCGCTGTCCTTCGTCCGGGCCAGGATAGGAGAGTTGCAGTTCCCACAGGTACCACAGGGCGGCGCATTGGATACGCAGCACTGCCCCTGGGACTCCAGAGGACACGTTCCAAGTCCCTATCCTGCAGCTCACCTCTAGGACTCCTGGCGTCTGGTTCCCTCTCTTTCCTAATGGCTCTTCAGCTTTCCCCTGTTTCTAAGGCCCCGTCTCTGCTGTGACAGGTGGGCATAGTGACAACATTCCTGGTGTTCCTCATTTTCGCCTACAACGTCATCTTCCTGTTTGTGGGGACAGCGAGCCTGGGGCTGTTCCTCAGCAGCACCTTTCCCAGCATCCTAGCCTACACTGAGGACATTCTCCAGTACCGCGGTGAGTGTGACACGCCCGCCCTCCTCCCCTCATCTGCCTGTGAATGCAAGGTCAGCACCTGCTTCCACATCCAAAATACAGACACACTGCTCCCTGCCATCCACTGATGCTTGCTCACAGCGACCCTACAGGACAGGACAGAACTGCCCCTGTGGGTTTCCGAGGCTCTAAGTCTTTATGGGAAGGAGGAGAAGGAGGGAGTAGAAAGCCTCCACCTTTCTCTCACAGAGTGGCTGCTGGTTTTGAACTGCTGACCTTGCTGTTTGAAGCCTCAAGTACCACCCAGCCACCAGGGCTCCTGGTCTTCTAGCTAGAAAATCAATACCCCAGCTGCTCAGAGACATAGGTGCGCCCCTTCTGACTTTGTTGGGAACAGTTGGGACCCACAGAGCCCCCTCCATTCCGAATTAGACCTGTCTCTGCCTGCTGTTGGGACACAGTGCCGCCTGCAGTTCAGGGTGCCTTTGCCATCTTCTTGTTTCGCATCGCCACGTGGACGGACTTACCGCTGATGCTGTGTGTGCTAGAAACTCCAAGTTCAAAAGGAAGGCCAAGTTGCCTAGGAAACGCTCTGGCCTGGGCAAGGTGTGCCATCCTGTAATCGTGCCTCCTTGCTTTGTGTTGTGGCGGAGGACGCTCTTGGACGTGCCCAGGGTCAGCACTGTGACCGCACACCTGGACTGCAGTCCCAACACAGTGTCTTTATGTCAGGAACCTCTCGTGCTCGCCTCTCGTCTCCCTCCACTCCCCCTGGCCTTCCAAGGGTATGGAGCAAAGATCTTTTACTTTTAACGAGTTAATTAAAATTAACATTTTTTTAATTAATAATGTTTTGAACATTTAACATTCCCCTTAGTCGTTGCTAGAGCCTCCCTGGAGGGCTGGATACCAGCTATGTAGCTGAGTGATTTCCGTAAAGTGGAAAGACGGACTCAGTGATCAACAGTCAGGAGACACAGGAAGGAGAGCGTGGGTCCTTGACCTCTCAGGATAATCCTCAAGTGAGCGAGCACACTGCGGCAGTGGCGGCCGCTGTTAAGAAAAGGAAAGAAAAATCAAGCCTTTCCCACAATAAATGTGCACATTTTTTTGCTTTGTTTTCAAAAGGGAATTTTTAATTATAAAAAGTCTTTGGAAAAATGGAATTGGAAGAGAATGGATTCACCACCACCACCACCCCCGCACTCACACACGCACATGCACAAAGATTTTGAAGCCCTAGTGGCATAGTGTAGAGAGGTTGGGGTGCTAATCTCAAGGTCAGCAGTTCAAACCCGCGGGGCCACTTATCGAGAGAAAGATGAGGCTTCCTGTTCCCGTGAAGAGTCAGTCTCAGAAACCCACCGGGCAGGGCCAGTTGTACCCTGTCCTGTCAGGCCGTGCTGAATCCGAATGGGCTCGACGGATAGAGTCTAAGTTCACAGCACACAGTAGACGCTTGAACAGCATGAAGGTGAGGGCATCCGCCTCCCACGAAATCCAAAATCAGTGTATCATTCAAACTGGCCCTTGAACTACATGGTTCTGGATTGCTTGGGCCCACTGACATGTGGGCTTCCTTTCTTGCTGCTCTTTCAGGGAGCTCAGGTGTCATGCGCAGCTACTTAAAGGGGGGGAAACAATCCACACGGGTGAGCGTGGTGCCGAGCAGTTAAAATGTACACCACATAACTGCGGCTCTAAGACAAAGTAGCTGGAGGTCATTTGTGGCCTGCTTTCTTTCTCCCCAGAGACCCTCTGGGCATAAAAGCATAGACAGTAAAACCTGCCCAGTGGGGATCTGCGTTGGAAATCTAGGTGGAGAACGACATTTCCCACTAGGATGAGTGACAGCGGAGAGACCGCCCTTTGTCGGTGATGGAGAACTGAAGGAGACTTAGAAAAACAAGGTGGTCCCGCCGAGTTCCGCCTCTCCCAGGCTTCACCGTATGGACGCTCTAAACCCAGATGAGATGGCATGGGCTGCTGCTGGCAAGCTCAGCAGTTCAAAACCACCAGCCGCTCTGTGGGAGAAAGAGGAGGCGCTCTACGCCCGTCAGGAGTTAGCCTTGGACACCCACAGGAGCAGGTCGACCCTGTTCGTTAGGGGTGCTCTCGGTCGGCATCGACTTAATGGCAGGGAGTGGGACGAGTCTTGTGCCTTTAAGCCTGTGAGACCGCGCTCTGCACGACAGCGCAGGCCAGAGAAAGCATCAAGGAGTCAAAGGCATTTGAGTCTCAGCTCGCAGCTCCTCCGGGTGGGGGTGCCTCCCAGGATCAGAAGACGACCCCAGACTGGGGGATTACATGGGACAGCAGAGAAGTCCTGGCCTGCTGGGAAATGCCAGGTCTGCTGCACTACAACCTTGGCTTGCCTCCCTGCCCCCCCCCCCTGACCCAGAGGGGCTCAGCCCTGGCTAAATACTAAAGTCACTAGGAGAGCTTGTAACAGCCCCGGATGGAGGCCCAAGTCTCATCTCCAGAAGGTCTGAGCCCATGGAGTGGGGTTCACGGGGTTCTAATGCACAGGGTGAGGGCCACTGACGAAGCCACACAGCCTTCGTAGCTGCCTAGTGTACACCCTTCCTTTCTGCAGCCTCCCCAGCCCACCCCAGCCCCAGCCTGCATTCTGGCCCGGCTTGTTCTGCCCCTCTGCCTAGGATGCCCTGTTCACACCACCCCGCCTTCCCACCAGGCCCAAACACCATCCTCCAGGACGCTTCTCTGCCCAGCTCCCTGGAGTCCCAATGCTCAGGAGCCCCGCCTCTCCTGTTCAGCCCACTCAAAGGGGCTGTGTCTGAAGAAAACCACTCCCAGTGGGTACCAGCAAGGGGACATGAGAAAGAGCAAGTCATCGCAGACCCCAGTGTCAATCCTAACTCGACACTAGTGGCTTCCCCGCTCTGGGCCTCGAGTTGACTGCCTGTGGAATGGGCGTGCGCACAGAACGGTTCTGCGCTTTGGCGATCACCTAGAGCACTGGGCTTAGCAGCTGCCCTGCTCACAGGTGTCCAAGCCGTGTGGACTCTGACCATATGTCCCAACGGGTGCAGCTCCTGGTGCCCAAAAGGCCCTCCAGGTGCTTTGAATGAATAAAAGGGGTGGGCACAGTGCTACTAGAATCGGAGGTAGGAGCAGCCAGGGCTGGCTCAAGGTAGCTTCATGGAGGCAGTGGGAGGTGAGCTCATCCAGCATCCAGAGAGACAGAGAAGAAAAGGAAAGGTGGGCTGGACAGGACAGGGACAGCGACCAGCAGGGCCAGAGGCCGATGGCCACACAACCGAGGCTAAAAGCTAGAAGGCATTCGAAGGCCTGAATAGATTGCTTCAGTGCACACACACACACACACACACACATACACGGAGGGTCTGCTCCCTGCTGACCACAGCACTAACTAGCTCTAGACTCAGCAGTGGCCTGAGGTCAGGCTAGTCCTCCTCTCACGGCCTTGGGCTAGTGGGCAAGGATGGCAGATAGACCTGGGGGCAAATTGGGGGCGGGCGTTGGCTATGGGAGCAGAGAGAAGTCACTAGCCCAGGTTTGGGGTCCAGGTTTGGAGATTACTAAAGGAAATCTTAAAACAAAACAAAACAAAAAAGCAGGCCAACAGTTGTCATTGGCTTGACTCTCCTGCCGATCACACCTGTGGGAGACCTGTGCTCCAGAAGGTTTTCCATGGGATTGGGTTTTCAGGGATGAATCACCAGGCCTTTCTTGTGAGGAATCTCTGGGAGCGGGGGTGGGAAAGACTCAAACCTCCAACCTTAGGGTAGCAGCCAAGCACATTTACTGGTGGCAGCCACCCAGAAACCAAACCAAATCCACCACCATCGAGTCTGTTCTAACACACGGCCACCCTGAAGGGCGGGGGAGAGCCGCTTCCTGGACAATCAACACTGACAGTCTCATCTTCACTCCCAGGGGAGCTGGGTGATTTGAATCGCTGACTATGCAGCCGGAAGCTTACCCCTTGGTACCACTAGGGTTCTTGGAAACCCACCCTCCACACACACACATCCTAGGAGAGGCCCTAAGAAGGAAAGGGTCTGGCAGACAGAGGAGGAGGAGGGCTGCTTGGGAGGGAGTGACCGTGGCAGTGAGTTTGCAAGGTCAGGAAGTGGAAGGCCTACACACTGACTCCAGGATAGCCGGTGAGCAGGTGGGGGAGGCAGGGAGCACTGTAAAGCGTCCCCCACCCAGCAGGCAGCAGTGCACACGGTGTGAGCAATAGGCTGGCCTGGCTTTGGGCAGGCACTGGGTGCCTGAACGTGGCTAATGAGCGGCTCACACGTGACAGCCATGCCATCCCCACCTCCCTGCAAGGGGTGCTGCCACGCCCACTCCACAGCCCAGTAAACTGAGGCTGGAACCCAAGCCCGACTCGGAAGCCTGGCCTCTATGGACCCTGTGGCCCGCAGGCCCATCAGAGGCTTGTGGCCCGTCAGTGCCACACCAGCTGGGACAGCATCTCCGGCCCACAAGTCAAGGGCTGGCCCTGGCGCGGTTGAGGAATCCAGAATAGTCCCCTGGGGCAGCCACCCTGGCAGGCGGGCGTCCAGAGGGTTCCTGGCAGCAGCCTGGGTCAGGACTGCCGAGTGCATCCATCCCCTCCAGCCACCCCCTTCTCTTCGGGCAGGCTGTGCGACCACGGTGCTGGTGACGGGGGCAGGAGTCGGTGAGATGGTGCTCCAGCTTCTGGTTGGTTCGGTACGTGGGAACCTGGGGGGGGGG